TATCTTCCACTCAGCCCACGAGACGGTTTAGTCCCATTTTAGAGAGCTAGTGGCCCCTTCCCCCAAATTCAGATACACCACCAACAGGAAAGCAGCTGCCAGGTTTTCGCTTTTCTGGGCTCCGGGTCCTTCCACAGGAGCTGCTCTGCACAGCTAAGCAGGGCCCACCGCCCACGGCATGAAGGAGAAGAGGATTCACACAGAGAGATGTCGTGGGGACAAGGTCTTGGAGCAATGACTCTGTTCTGAAGCTCAAAAATCTCTCAAGGATACCACAATCTCCCGCCTTGAGTAAAGTGTCTCAGGGCAGGTCCATGTTTTCTATCAAATTCCCAGATTATGCTGGACGGCCTCATTTTCTTTCCTTTTTCTTTCTTTTTTTTTCATTTTGAAGCAAGAGTGTTAAAAACTGTGGCAGTCACATGGGGTCTGTGGCAGGGAAGACACGGTGCACAGTGAATATTAAGCAGATAAACACAGGAGGAGGAAACTCAAATTACAGGCCTGAACGTCATTCACAATTCTAATTAGCAGCCATTAATAGGGCACTAATGGCAAAGGAGTGATTTTCATCTGATTCTCTTCATTGAAAGTGAATGACAGCTGTGAAATTCCCATCAGAGGTGTGAAGGTCACATGTAAGCTAATCCAATCTTTGTGAAGTTCTACAACAAACCAGCAGTGAGCTTCGCCAGTAAGGTCTGGGGAAGCTAATCGTTCCTCTCGTCACCAAGAAGTAACAGGGGCAGCTTCTGTTTAATCAGCATATGTGTAGAACGTACATTCTGTTGTGGGTTGAGTTCTGCCCCATAAAAGATATGCTCAAGCCTCAACCCCCACACCTGTGCTGTGACCTTATTTGGAAACAGGGTCTTTGCAGATGTGATCAAGATGAGGTCACACTGGAGTAGCATGGGCCCTAAATTCAGTGACTGGTGTCCTCATGACAAGAGGACAAATCTGGACACAGAGACACAGACACAGGGAGGCGGCCAGGTGATGATGGAGGCAGAGAGCGGAGTGATGCATCTACAAGCCAGGGAACGCCAAGGGTTGTCAGTAACTACCAGCAGCAAGGACAGACACGGAACAGATTCTCCTTCAGAGCCTCCAGCAGGAACCAACACCTTGGTCTCAGATTTCTGGCCTCCAGAACTGTGAGAATAAATTTCTGCTGTTTTAAGCCACCCAGTTTGTAGTAATTTGTTACGGCAGCCCTAAGACGCAGATACATATACACATATTTCACACACATTAAAAGGCTATTTGGGGGCCAGCCCGATGGCGTAGCGGTCAAGTTCAGTGCACTCCACTTTGGCAGTCCAGGGTTTGTGGGTTTGGATCCCAGGCACAGACTTACATCACTCACCAAGCCATGCTGTGGTGGTGACCCACATACAAAATAGAGGAAGATGGGCACAGATGTTAGCTCAGGGATAATCTTCCTCAAGCAAAAAGAGGAGGACTGGCTACAAATATTATCTCAGGGCCATTCTTACTCACCAAAAAAAAAAGGCTATTTGCCCGTATAAACATTTTACTTCTTGGATTACTTTCATAGAATCACAAGCTCCCTACTGAGTTACCCACTTTTGCATTGTTAATTCACTAATTAGAAAACATACACCATATTTAAATCCACCCCTCATTTAAATTGCATCTTTAAAAATATCTAAATTGTGTGAGTCAGCTCTCTTTGCTACAAGAATAAAATATGAACCAAAACGTATCACACAATTAAAACACAACAGATGTTATCCTCTGAGATCCAGCTAAAATCGATCTGATGGAAAGTGCACTCCAGCAAAGGTCTGGAGAACATCCTGCACCAAAGAGCTTAATACCGAGAGAGAACTCTCTTCTGAAAACAGGAAGGCCCTTACACCTCAACCCTCCCAGCAATCTAAAGATCCCTGCCACAGGTCACAATAATGTTAAAGGATATTTATGCATTAATTAAATCAAAAGAACCACCATGTGCAGACATGAGGAGTGCAGAGAGCTCCAATGAGCTCTCTCTGGACAGGCAGATCACACAGCCACGCCAGGAGCAACATGCCTTTCATTTAACCTTGCTGCCCACGTGTGGCCAGAAGGCAAGTGATCACGCTAGCAGTTATAAGAGAGGAGAATAAATTAGAAGGTAGTAATAACAGCAAGAAATGGAAATGTCTCACAGCTCGCTCTAAGTCCAATCCCCTCGGCCTGGAGCCCATGACGCCCACCATCAGCTGTGGTCTCACCTGACCCTTTGTCTGCAAAGTGGTCACAGGTGGGGCTAAGCTATAATCGGCTTCCTCTACCTCCTGCACACCCCAGAGAGGATCCCCATCACTCTGATGCTCTCCATAAACCGGGGAGATGACACAGTACATTCCAGCTCCAGAACATTCTATACGTAAAGCATCTCAATGAAGCGAGCACGGGTAATTGATTGACGTTAACACATTCGACAAGAACTGAAATCACTTTCCAGCTAGAGGCTACTTGACTGTGAGAAAGAACTTCAGTATGGCAAGACGGCAAGAAATCAAGCCTTTTCTCATTCGTTTCCTTTCAGAAACAACCAATCACGGTTCCCTCCTGCTGCCACGTGAGACTCGCCCAGGCACGTGGACAGAATGTGGGAGTCGGTTCCCTGACCTCGCTAAGACAGGCAAAAATGAGGCCACCTGCCCAGTTCCAGACAGGCACAGGTTGCTGGCCTCTGAGAAATGGATTTGCCAGGGTTCAGGGTCTTCCAGGCACAAGGTGGCATCTGTCTTCACAATTCTTCAGCACCCAGAGGCCCTGATGCACCTCCACTGGGGGGCACCTGGGTGTGGTTCTGCTCTAAGCTCCCAGAGCCCCTGCAGAACAATCCCCTTGACCTGGACTCAATCAGTGGGAGGTCAGGCGGCTGGGTGGCCTGGGGAGCTCCTGAAGGGGGAGGGAAAAGATCACGGACAATCTCTCCCCTGATCCCGGACGCCTTGGGCATGGGCCCCATGGAGAGGATGAGATATTCCCACTTTGCAGATGAAGGGATGGCCTTTCCTGTAGTCGCACATGCTTTTCTACCCTTTAAAATAGCATATTTTTAAAATTGCATGTGATACCACAAAATTTCAGTATAATAAAATGTGTTCCTTGAAAAATCGACGAAGTGGGACTATTAGAGATGACGGTTTAGGTCCCCCCCACTGGGTACGATTTTTACTTTTGAAGTACAAACATTCAAGAGAAATGCCTTCGTGCTAATCAAAATACAGCAAAGAAATCACACTCAGACCAAAATTTGATGGAACCAACTGTGAACAACCAAACAGAACACAGCAAAAGCCACAATAATGACAAAATACCACTGCACGGGGAAGGGAAAGGCATCCGTGAGCAAGACAGCCAGTGACCCTGGCTCTAACCACACCAGACACTGGACCAAATACCAGAGAAGCCAGAGCATCACTATCACCCCAGGGGCCCAGACCACAGAACTTCAGGGACCCCTGAGTAACGTCAGGAGCGTTCGAGGGGCGGCAGGCAGATTTACTTGAAGATGATCATTTCACCTGTGGCCAGGTTAACCAGTCCCCCGGCAGCTGTTATCACTAACGTACACAATAGCTAGCCCCAAGGAAGCAGTAGAAAACCCAAGAAAAAAGCTCTCAAGGACTCTCAAGGTGGAATCAAAATGACTGTGGCTACAATCCATGCTCAGACACAAAGAATCAAACAAAACAGAGCCCAGGAAGAAGTTAGAAAGACTTCTAATGTTCTCACCTTCCTTACCTCTCTCTAAATCATGCAGCCTTCTAGCATCTGTATATATTTTTCATTGGACAGCCATGCTTTTTTTCATTGATTCCCACACACATCTTCACCTCAAATCTTCCTAAATTGTCAACTCCATGTGGATCATGAAAAAAGTGGGCCTCTCCCTGATGTGACCACCTCGAGGCTTTTATGATATGATTGCAAAATTCTGCAAAATAATGGCAGAGCCCCAAGCAAAGACCACCACAGAACTGCACCTTCCATACCCTTCTGAATGGTTGCACGGTATCCAGGACAAGAGTTAAACACTAGAACAGGTGTTACAAGAAACATGTGAAGCTATTCAGGACTACTGCTAAAAACACACCTAAGGGACAAAACAGGGTGAAATGTTTAACTTAAAAAAAAAGGATAAAATGAAACAAAATCAGATGAGACACAGAACGAGGAGGGAAGGGAACACTACAGTACAAGTTGTGTCTCTCCTCTCTCTTCAAACAAGACAAGCGCTGCCATGAAGAAAATGTATAGTTACCTGCATCCATATCTGCAAAGAATGGAACAGCCAGTAAGAAAAAGAAGGAACCAGAAATTCAGTGTCTCAGAGTTGGATTTTAAAAGGTTATATGGAGAGAAAATATAACTTAGAAAACTGCGTGTGAACTCTATCTTGATTAGGGGACACAGGAGCTAAGTGGTTTCTGATCATTACTGTCATAATTGCATTTAACGTAAAAAATAAAATATGGATATGTTAACTGAAGAAGTAAATGCCCAATGGCAAAAGAAATATCTTATTCTCATGCAAAATGATTATTAAATGTTTAGAATACAATATAAGGGGAAAAACATACTCAAAAATATGGTGGTGGGAATCTGAAAAGCTCATATCTGTGACTAAGTAACAATACATACAAATTATGTATAAACTCAATATCCAGATCAGAGAAACATTTGAGCAATATTTAAGGAGTACTACTGCATTAACATTTGAAAGGACAGAACTATTAGATAAAAAATAAATTCAATAGCATTTCATGGTTCTACTCTATTGCTCCGAACACCAAAGTGAATATAGCCAGTTAGCTAAAAATACTACCTAACTATATACCTAAGGATTTTTACTGCTTAGTATTTTATTACTTTCTTGACATGTGATACATCAAAGGAATGATTTAGAATACGCTACAGAAAAGTTTAAAAAACTAAATTCCCTGAAGCTTGAGACTGCCTGCCACACAGCGTACCTTCGGGAGACTCCTCCTGGACGTACGTGCCGGTCAGGTACCGGTGCACCAGCGCTGACTTGCCACTGGCCAGGTTACCCACGATTCCCTGAAAGAGAGCAACGGACAATAGATAAGCATCATGACATGACTCGATTCGGCAATCTGCAAATAGAGAAAGGTTAAAATGTACAGGAATCCTAAACATAATCACAACCAAGCATGGGCTGGATGGCCAAAAAGTGGCTCATTAAACCCTTCTGCTGGAGTAAAAGGGATTCCAACACCTTCAATTGACAGCTCACGTTCTCATGGGCCTTGACAGCTCTACGAGCACATTAGCACTGTTCGAACACACACCGGTGATGGCATCTTCCAGACACCATGTGTGGTGGTTACATCAGGAAAGTGTGCGGTGAGTCAGCTCATCAACATTCACTGTGTACCCTTAATATACTCACAAGGCACCGGGTTACAGGGGACACAATGGCAGTACAGAGTAATACGGGGATAAGAGGGATATTCTGGTGCATTCCATCACGACTTTGGGGTAGAATTTCAGAGCCGGGTGAGACTATTTGAAAAGAGCCACACGGGGAAAGAACAATGTGGGGAGAGACTAGAGGGGCGAAGCAAGGCAGGGAGGAGGAGAGCAAGCCTGCATCTCTGGAACACGGGACTGTTGCAGGAATGAGAAAGAGGACAGAGCGGGCCCACGTCAAGGGGGCAGAGGTGTTCACAGTGGGTTAGAAAAGGCCGTCAGGCGTCAGGGTGATGAGACGGCCACTGCTCTAGCAAGTGAGAGACAGCAGGTTGAAATGGACGAGGAAAACAGCAGTAACCTGCAGGCAATGGCAGCTGCATGATCCTTCTTCAGACAAAGTTTCCCTGTTAACACAGCCGGGATACCTGGACTAGAGGCGGGCAGGTCCCTCAGGAAGCCTTCCCTTGACCTGTGCTCGGGATCTCGCTCCCCCTCTGCCTTCCCTGGGAAGCTGCTAATCAACAACCTCCTTCTGTATGCTAATTTGTAACCTCCTGTATTTAATCTCCCCCCTCTAGAACTCTCCTATCCGCACTTTAGCATGATCAAATCAATTCTTTAAGAAAAACAAGAGACCTGCCCCTGGACATAGGTCCCCTTCTATGAAGAGCCTACCACCCCCTTTCCACCAGAGCCAGACTCAAGGCTATGCCTCCCCCAGGCCTACTCTCTGGCCCCCCTCCAGCCTCCACCCTAACAATCTGAAGTTCCACCTGATCGCTGCAAGGATGCTGCCCCTGAGGTCACCAACAACTTCCATTTCTAAACCACCAGCCTTTCTCTGGCTCCTGACCCTAACCCAGCCCCATCACCAGAAGCTGTAGCCAAGATTCTCTTTCTTCCAACTTTCTGCCCCAGGCTTCCTCCTCGAATTCCCTGTTCGGCCCACGTGGGCTCCTTCCCTCGATCTCCTAGATTCTCTTAGATTCTTCTAGATCCTCGATCCTAACACCCCGAAGTATGCCTCACCACATCCTACCTACACTCAATAAGCTGATTCCAGAACCTCATTCTCCAGACCCCCAACAGCCAACGGCAGGTGTTCCTACCCACCCCCACCAGGAGAACGACATAAGTTCCTCGTACACACTCAGACACCATCCACACTGCTACCCAAACCCCAGCATGGCCAAATCTTGCCATTCTCTCTCCAATCTGCTCATCATCCTTTTATGACCACATCCCCACCAGCCTCTCAGACCAGAAACCTGGAAGCCTTCCCCAATGCCCACCCCGCCCAGAAGTCACGGAACCCCTGCACTTTTGAGCAATCACATCCTCACTGTCACACCAAGACAGGCTGTGTTGTCCACTGGATCTTGGAAGCAGCTGTCAGTTCATCTCCCCCTGTAAGCTCCCCCTCTTCACCCTGAGACTATCAAAGACATCCTTTAAAATTACCACTGTGAAAATGCTACTCCCTCATTTCACAACCCTAGGAAGATTCTCACTGCCTGCAGGCCAAAGCCCAAATGTGTAGGAACAAAGAACAAATCTTCTCCCTCCAAATCCTCACACACGGCGTTGCTGTGGGCGCACAGTCCTGGTGGTAGGTCTGTGAACTTAGCACACAAACTCCGCACTCTTCCTTCCACCTGGGCACCCCTCCCTTCCTCACCTGATGGGAGTTTTGGATGGTCTCCCTGCTTCTCCTCTGCACACCCAAAAACCTTGCACTGTGACTGGGATGTTGTTGGCTCTATCTCCCACTATGCTCGGGTCCTTGAAAACCAAGAACTATGTTTCTGGATAGGGCACTCTGGCAAGGACACCAAGTCAGAATCCCTATTTTGATTACTGTTTTCAGCCCCAACAAAGAGCCTGGTAAATGTGGGATGGAGAGATAGATAGAGGAATGGAGCGAAGAATGGATGGAGCGATGGATAGAGGGAGGGAGGGAGGGATGGAAGGATAGATGGATAGATGGATAGAAGAGAGGGAATGAGGGAGATTCATTGGTGGATAAATGGATGATGATGCCAACAACTAGAAGAACAAACACAGGAGGGAACAAATTTGGCATGAGATTGCGGGATGTAAGTTAAAATTTGACCTTTCTAAAACCCTTAATCCAACCTGCCCCCCTCACCAGTCATAGCCCTTTCATGTCTCAGCTTCCCACTCCTTGCTTTGTCTTCCAGATTCCAGCTACTAAACCACATCCTGACAGGCCTTGCTATCTCCAGGCACCTAGACCTCTCCCCATCAATCACTGCCCGAAATACTACTCCTGCTCATCGGTCAGCAATCAGTTCAGATGTCACCTCCCCTGAGAGGCCGTCCGAATGCCACAGCCTCAACCTGGCACCTCTCCTCAAGGCGTCCTTAAGTGCCCTCCTGGCTTGTGACTTATCTCTTTATTTTACCAACCTCAGTATGTGGGTATGACTCTCTCCAACACTGACAATCCCCTACGGGCAGGGACCGCATCTCATCTGTTTCCAGGTTCTCTGTACCCCAGCCTTGCCCCCAGTCCAAAGTGGACTCAACAACACTGGCCAAATGAACGAATGAATGATTCCAACACCAGTGAGTATAAATGAGATGCTTTATCTCTACACCTCAAAGGCAGACTACGTGGACAGATCCTAAATAAAGTTGTTCCCCTTCCTGACTTGACTTCTGTCTCCTTTTTACCTTGGGCCTCTATAATCTGAGAATTTCTACCTATTAATTATTCTTTTGCTCAAGGGCACCTGCTGTTTGTCAGCTTCGTGCTGAGAAAATCCAAAACAGTATGCCACAGAATTAAATTTTTAATTAAGATTCGAGTTGCTCTTTCCCGAGGAGGAAAAGGCTCAGAATCCAGCACGGTCCCGTCTGTGCTGTCTGTGTGTGGCAATATTCCTTCCTTCTTCCACGGCAATGATCACAAAGAATCAGCTTACCCCTTAGAAGGACCAAATCAATCACCCCCGGGGGTGGAGTGGGAAGGTGCTTTATTTGGTTTCAATGGCCACCTCAGAGACCTGATGCTCGCACACCATGGGCATGATTTTAATTTGAAACACTGGCGGAAACAAACAGCCAACTGCAAGGAGGAAATAACGTAACGGACGAAAATGCTCTTTCAGCTGTAGAGCTCCACCAGGATCCATGAACTGCTTCTGGAGGTAAACCGGAGAGAAAGGAATCAGTCCATTCTGGGTCCACAGGCTTTGTGGGGAGAAACGAGGTAACCCGGGTGAAGGTGTACTGAAAATTACAGAACTGCATCTTTCAGGTGCCAACAGGTCATAACCATCAGCCCCGCATCCTCTGGGCAGCACCAAGACCTGTTAGGGCGCCATGCTCCACACCGTCACATTACAAGAGGAGAAAGAGCGTGGTGTCTTTGTAAACTGATTTCTCTATCGTCCCACACTTCACCACTCACCTGTGAAACGTGTGGTTTGCTGAAAAGGAAATCGAGGCTTTTTAGTAAAAATCCCAGCTAGGAATTCAAAGAAAACACACAAATCGGATGTGACAAGTTGCTGACTGACGCCCACCTCCACCGGCAAGATGTCTAAGGTATTTACTCTTTCTGCCCAGGGATAAGCATTAAGCACGCGCTGCCCGGCACACATCTCGAGTGACCTGGGTTTGGATCCACTGAAGCCCCAAAAGCAATTGGCCATTGATTATCTAACCACCACACAACTTCAGAAAACATAAGGCATGGTACCACCACTCTTGAAAATAAAGCAAACATTCAATTGTTTTCTCTGACCAATTTCAGAAGATTTATTGCAAAATATGACATAAAAGAGCCCATTTGAGGTTTGCTATTATGTCATTTAATTGCTGTGTTTGTGAAACGGAGTCAGGAGTTCCGAGGGCACTGACCTAAGGGGCCACCTGTCTCGGGGGGCTGTACTAGGGCGGGGAACAATTGCAGTCCTGTGGACACACAGAGGCTGCCTCTGAACAAAGGACCACTTTC